ATTCCTGTCCTGCGCCGATGGCTAGCCGCCGTGAGGCAGGCCGCCGTAGCCGAAATTTGGTCTGGAGGACTATTATTACTACCTATTTCTGTTGCAGAACAGCAGTGCATTCACTGTTGTGTGCCAGTTATAATGGTATCGAGAGTCTATACAATATGTAACAAAACCTTGTGGTTTCCGTTAACTGCATTATCAGAATCAGTATTCGAACGTATAGAAATATTTTTTTTTCAGAAAACTTTTTTATAAAAAAAAATATTTGTAAATTGTACACGGTTTTATTTCCTCTAACTCACACGAGTATCGGTAATGCGGGGTCTTTGACAATCCTCTTACTCCTCGGCCATTACACCATGCATCCTCTTACTTCTCAAAAACTATTGCAACGTCCTGATCTGATTTAGTTAATTTATTATAAAACTTAACTTAGTTTGAATCCCACTTAAAAAACTTCAGTAATAAAGAGTCTTTATTTTGTTGCTCAAATACAATGACTTAGCTAAGGAGCACACTCTTAAATATTTTGGAATATTTTTATGACTTTCATTGTAAAGTTCATATAACCTTTGTCTATTCTTATGGACTCCTACTATCGCCCATTCATTAAATGCTTTGCGATTATTCAAGGAGAATGTTTTAGAAGTAAAAGTATTATTAAATTCATTGCAAATAAGCTTAAATAATGTGCCATACAAAAAATCTGGATTATTTTGGTATGAAAGTAATGGAAGTTTTTTTTACTATGAATTTATAATGTGAATCATTCACTTCTGGAATATACATATCATAACACTCGCGATTAACAATATGTCCAAAGGAGAAAAGCGTTGCATTTTACTTAGGTACATCAATTAGTTTGAGCTTTGTCTATTTTGACGCCTAAAAATGTTATTAATTTGGAGAGGAAATTGACCCTTAACTTCGGGAACATTCTCATACAACGTGGTACGACACGCAATTTGCTGTAGTTACAAATTTACAATATAATATCTACTGATAGACATCGGAATTCAGGAACAAAGCGCTCTTCGTAAATTTGGACCCCGCCATTTAGATAGAAAAAATATGGGATTAGATGGTAACTTGTGAGAAAGTGATGGGTGACTCGTCTACACAATCACAAAACCCTATGATATGGTAGGTTTGTAGGCAAGAAACACAGTTGGTATTTCTTTTTATTATAAGTCCCGCTTCCTATAAGTTCCAAACAAACGTGGTATTGATGTCTAGAACATTGTAGACTATTAACTCACTACACTTGCCTAATCTAATTTGCAATCTATTATAGCTAGACGGCTAGACGGGCTGGTGAGGAAGTGGTGGCAAGCCTGCTGCTTGTTTAATTTATGCTGGGAACTTAAGCGGGTACCGGTAGACTGGTGCAAAGCCGTGATAGTCCCAGTATATAAAGGAAAAGGGTCGCAGCAGGACTGTAAAAACTACCGTGGTATCAGCCTTTTTAGCATTGTCGGAAAACTGTATGCTAAGGTACTGATTGAAAGGGTCGTGAAAGAAACTGATGAAAAAATTTGGGATGTGCAAGCGGGATTTATCCCATTGAGACTTGATCTAGATCAAGTCTTTTCCATGCGCATGATCGCGGAGAAGTTTTTGGCCAAAAACCAGAAGGTTTTTTGTGCGTTCATGGACTTGGAAAAGGCCTATGACAGAGTGGATAGGGATGTGCTATGGCAAACACTGAACTCATTTGGGTTGAGCGCTGGCTTGATACAGGCATTGGAGTCTCTTTATAGAGACTCTAGTGCTTGTGTTAGGATTAACGGGGTCTACTCGGACTGGTTTGGCATCCATAAAGGTGTCAGACTGGGCTGTGTGGCTTCCCCGTGGCTGTTCAACCTATTTATGGACAGTTGTTTGAAAAATTTGAAAGTTGAAGAATGCGGATTAAGAATGGGTGAGTTAACCGTCAAATTCCTTTTGTACGCCGATGATCAAGTTATTCTTGCGTCATCGGCGTCCGAGTTGCGAATGATGGTTACATTAATGAACAGATCACTAAAAGAAAGGGGTATGAAAGTGAACGCAAGTAAGACGAAAGTTATGGTTTTTGAAAGAGAAGAAAGTAAAATGATATGTGAAATAAGAATAGAAGGGGAGTTGATTGAGCAAGTAGATGAGTTTGTATATTTGGGCTGCGTATTTAGCAGGGATGGGAGATGTGATAAGGATACAGAACGACGAAATAATGCAGGCAGTAGAGTAAATGGGGCCCTACACTCTATTGTGAAGAGTCAAAATGTGTCAAAAAAGGCACGTATGGCAATTCACAATGCTGTGTTGGTGCCCTACTTTAACGTATGGTAGTGAAAGTTGGGTGTGGCAGAAGAAGCACGAGAGTAGAATGAACGCAGTAGAAATGCGGTCGTTAAGGAGTATGTTAGGGCTGAATCTGAATGACAGGGTGAGAAATTATGTGATAAGAGAAGAGTGTGGTTTGCAAGATGACGTTGTGATCAGAATTAAGAAAGGAATGCTTTGGTGGTTTGGTCATGTGGAAAGAATGAATGAGGAAAGAATGACAAAGAAAATTTATGTTGCAGAAGTGAATGGCAGAGTCGGAAAGGGACGTCCTAGGCGAAAATTTATCGACCAAATTGGCGATTTATTGAAAACGGGCCAAATTAGGAGCACCCTTAACGGACAAGCATGTATGCGTAGGTATATGGATGTGAAGGAGGCGAGAGAGGTGTGTCAGGATCGTGCCGAATGGAAGTCTGTAGTCTCTGCCTACCCCTCTGGGTGACAGGCGTGAGTGTTTATGTTTTTTATATGTGTAGCTAGACGGCCTTTGCCATTATATCAGTCTAGGATGATTCTTAAGGTTGTTGAAATTTAAAAAAATAACATTCCAATTTCAAATAGAGAAAGCGCCTGGGTACTTCTGTAATTAATACCATTAAATCCAAACTTCATTAAGTTCATTTTCATGCATGCATCTTTAGGCCTATTTCAATCCAGCAGTAAGTTTAAATAAAGGTTGTTAAAGATGCGGAATATGAAAAGATCCGAAAAAAGGTGTCATCCCTGGTGAAACGCCCGTCGCGTTGGACACGCACCTCTTACTCTCACGTGTAACCTTTGCTACATACCGGTAGAGCCACGATAAAATGCTAGAGACTTTTGCCTCGCAAGGCCAGCAGAATGCGCTGCCTACTTTGCTAAACGGCCTATCTGAGAATTATGTTAAGCTAACTAGAAGCCCAGACTTGTATCCATATACTTTAGGTTTGTACCCAAAGTATGATGATCAGACCCGGAGGGTTAACAGACTTGGCAGCCCTATCTATCGCATGTAATAATTCAACAACTCACCTCAAAATTTTCCCTTGGCATGAGACGAAAGATGAACGACACTAAAACTAAAAATAATAAGACGTTACGCACAATCAATACGACAGTACGATCTCTTTGCCGTTTCAGATGCGTTTAATTGTAGATAGCTCTATTTTTGCTTTTAAAGGCATAAAAATAATGTCTTGATTTTGGTTAGCCTATCACTTCGTGTGTTATTAACGGGTAAAATGATAATTTATTCACAAGAAATATTTTTTACAAATATATTTGAAAATAAATGTAAAAATATCCACTATCCCATATCATCCCGTGGGTGTCGGCATAAGAGGCATGAACAGAGGGAAACAGTCATCAGGAGCCATAGGCAGCAACGTCTTCCTAAAAAAGATAAAACATTAAAGTAAACTGCGGTAACTAACCCGCTTGCCAAGCGCAGCAACTATGGCAAATACCCCTATGAAGCACTATATGTAGGAGGCCTGTGTTCAACAGTGGATAGTGACGTCTTTGGCGCTGCCGATCGTAAATCTGTCATCCGAATGTAGTGATTACAGTCCCACTAACTGTGGGAGAAACCTATGTGCTACCAGCTGTGGACTCTTGTTCTTAATCATTAGCCTATAAAAGTCTACTGCTGAACTTGAGTCCCTCCCGTTACCACGTGTCTTCTCCCGAGCCTCTTACACTTGGGAGATGATTAAGGCAAATCCTTGCTTTAATGCCAAAGCACAAAGGTATTTTGACGCAGCTTCCCGTCCTCTGCTTGGATAATACGTTTGGCGTAAAGTAGACGTTTTTACCGCCATCTATTAAAAACCTCCTCCGATAGATAATTGAATCATCTTTTTGGCATTTCTAATATGAAGAAAAATAAAAAAATAAACTATTAAAAATAAATAAATATTAGAATTAATTTTAACACTAAATAAAAAGAGGAAGAAAATTAAAAAAAGAAAATTAATTACCTAATTTATTTCAATAATTAAATTAACTGTGGGAATAATCGTATGTAATAATTATAGGTATAAAACCTAGCCTTTGATTGATTTAAATCAGCAGTACTCTCACAGGATCTTTTAACTAAGGGACCTATAATAGACCTGATGAATTATTTAAATTACTTTTCAGATTTGTTTTAGTTTCTGCTAAATTGATGAATTCTCTTTATTAATCATAAGTGATGATCATCCCGATGAAATATGTATATATAATTTTATAGACTATCGATTCCTACGTGATTATGATCTATTACGCGCCAAAAGCTTAAAGTTTTAGTAACACCTGTTGCTTCTGCAGTAAACGTGATACGTACACAAAACATAAACACTACTTTAAAAACATTTAATCCGTATTACGTAGACGTAAAGTATTATTTTTACGAGCAAATATACAAAAGGTGGCAGATAGATCCAAGGTCTGGGTCTCCAGAAATAAATATTACATCCTCTCCAGAATCATCAATTCAGTGCCAAGTTCCCGTCCCACATATTGTATCGTCAGTCAACACACAAAAACCGTGCCCGATGGTCAGGAGCGAAAGTGTTGTTCAACATAACTTGTGTTGAAATTAAAAGTATATTTTGACGTTTGTGAACGCGAAAATATCGCAGATAATAAGTTTTTAAAGTGAAAAAGCAAAGAACTACATCATTATGACCGATGAAACTTATCACGTGTATACCAGAATGGAAAACATAACGGAACAAGAAGATAAATATTTAGCAGGCGCAAAAAAGGAAATAAGAAACGATTTAACCGTTATAATACCAGAGAATCCTTTCCCGGAAATAGAAGTGGACGCGTATCCTCCACTCAAATTTTCATGGGTTATTCCAAAAAAATTAGCCGCCATGGCTTTTCCTAGAAATAAGGAAAATTTGCAGTTCCTAGTGAATCAAGGTATAACGAATCTAGTGACACTCACAGCCGGCAAAAAGCCTCCCGTTGATGACATTGCCAAACTGAGATGGACGGAAATACCAATAGAAGAATTCGAACCGCCTACTATAGAACAGATCAATATGTTTATCGATGTTTGTAAGAAAGCTGACAAAAATGGTGAGGTAAGTCCATTTACTTCATTTCTTTTGACATCATTTACAACCAATTCAATATAATTCAGTATATTAAATATGTGCAAAAATAGTAATCTATTCAAAGAAATTAAAAAAAAAAACAATGTTATTTTCATTTGAAATCAAATCATAATTTGATCCTTCAAGCCGGATATAAGGATAACCCTTATATCCCGTATATCCGGCACAAACATCAATACCAAAAAATTTGTAAAGAAGTTACAGTCACAGACGAAGAAAGAAAATTTGGTTCGCCCGCGATTTAATTTACAAAGTTCTCTCATTCAGGTCTCTATAGACGTCTGTGGGCCACATCATCCACTTACCATCAGGTGGACTGTGTGCACGTTTCTCTTCCTTATTCTATAAAAAAAAACTGCTCACACAGGTCTCAATGTAACATTGAAGATTTTATAGTATTTTTACAGAAACATTATTTAATGTATACAAAAACATGCATTTAAATGGCATTTATTTATTATAAATAACGGCCAAGTGCATAGTGGACTACGTTGTGTAGTACTTATCTCGTGATTAGAATGGCTTTTTGGGCATGATACGTATTAGGTCATGATTTTAAAAACGTGTCTGTATAGAGCATTATATAAACATAGAGAATATAGACATAGAGTAATAATTTAAACAATTAAGTAAGTATGATAACCGCATAGGAGTTCCAGTTTCGTCCCGTGGGTGTTGTGAAAGTCATTTAGCGTTGTATGGGGGTGTCTTTGTGGTCAGTCAATTGTGGTCAGTGACGTCAAGGCGCCGAAAAATTACATAATTATTAGAGGTTTATATTTCGTCGTTTCCACCATTGAGTTATACAAAACGTGTATTATATAAATCAATGGTTTCCACTTAGTTCACATTGGTAAACATTTAATTCAGCAGCGCTGAGTAATGTTTAAGTCAACAGCTGGTGGTTAAGCTTTCGCTATAACCTTTGTGATATCTCTATCTCTCTTTGTAATGATCAGAGAGTCGGTACAATTGGTACTATAATTATCATTCACAACAATGTGTCACACAATTTATCATGATATAATGTCACCCGCATTGAGAAGTTTCAGAGGGATTTTAACGACTGCTTAACCTATATATCAAGACACCGAAGCGGACATTAAGACAAAATGACCCATTCATAGTCATAGTCACATGCACAGTATGTACCTATAATATTAGGCATATTATACATAAACGCACCACATGCGTATCAGAATTTTTACAATAGATACGGAAACAGCAACCCGCTTACGCTCGTCCTGTTACCAAAGTTCTATAATATTTCAAATAAAAAAAGCATTAGCTTTATTATTTTGGCTTTTTAAAAACGTGTGTCAATTTTTTTAAGCCAGCACTCAAAATTATACAACAATGTCATATTACGGTGGCGAATAGTAATTTCAAAATTTCTTAGATTTTTTTATTCTATCCAAACAGTCTTCAACAAACAGCTAAACACATTCTCATCTTCAGCTATATATATCTCGATCTTTAATCGAATAATATGTGAAATGTGAGATTGAGAGATACGTTCTAAAGGTTTCCAGTTTTATAAGATTCACCCAGCGATGGGAGCACTATCACTGAAACTTTTTGTTTCTGAGCGTGTTTAAATACCTATTTTGTAAATTGACCTCTCATTAGATACATGTATTAATACAATTATATATTATTATAATAATGTTCGTAAATCATGTAGTAAAAACAAGCATAGATAAAATTATATCGGTTAAAAAAAGTTTTAGGAAGTTAGTAAGTGAAGAGGAGGCCCTTCGTCATGCCATACCTAGACCCCTTCAGACGTAACTCCTCGCGGAAGATAGATAAATACGAGTATACTTTTTATCTTTTATATTACTATTATCACAAGGTTTTTTTCTTCACCAGGTTATAGGCATTCACTGTCGTCAGGGGCGCAGTCGGTCTGGCGTAATGCTGGCTTGCTACCTAGTTCACTTTCACCGGTTCCTGCCCGACCAAGCCTGTAATGTCATCAGAATGATGAGGCCAGGTAATTCATAGTGGTTTTTGGATTAGTATTGTTCTTTTTTTTAATATAAGCCAGTTATTGACCATCCCACGTTTTTTTATAGAAAAAATGTGATAAACGAGCACGCAGTCCATCTAAAGGTAAATCGATGCTGGTGCCCATAGATATCTACATCTACTCTCGATTAAAAATCAAAATGAAGATGCGTTGTTACATCTGAGGACTAAAATGGATTACCTCATTTCCAGTAAAAAGAGACTCCGGTTCTCTACACTCACCATATGAAACACAGCAGCATAAAGTTATTATTTTACCCTGGTATTCTGAGAGAGCGTCATCCTTCCCTGGTCATGGACTATTCGTGCTACAAACATAATATAGTTGCAGTATAGCCCTACCACATTGACGCTACTCGAGTAAGTGGTGATGTAAACGAAGACGATGTAAAGAAAGCGTATTCAATCATGTCTGGAAGACACTACGTGACTCTCACTCACTTTTATTTTAATAGCCCGTAAAAGTTTACTGCTATTATGTGTGTGCACCTAAAACCTTGTTGTCGGTTGGAATAGTTTTTTTTTATAGAATACGAGTGACAAACGAGTACACAGTTCTCCTGATGGTAGTTAGGGGATGCTGTGGCTCATTGACATCTACACTTATCCTCATTTAAGAATAAAAATACTGATGGGGTATCAACCCTTAGAACTGAGATGGAATGTCTCGTTTCCAGTAAGAAGAATCTCCGGTTCTCTACACTGACTATACGAAGAAGCAGCATTTTACTCTGTCGTCTGTGATCGGTCGTCGGCTATTCGTGCTACAAATATAGTTTAGCTTCAGTACGGCTCTACCGTGTTGGCTCCACTTGATACTGACGTAAAACACTCTGACTTAGCTTAACAAAAGCCTATTCACTCTTACCTTGAATATACTTACATATTATCTGTGTCTTTACAGGCAATCAACAAAAGATAGAACACCAAATGAAATTTCAGAGTGAAACCATTCTCAAGTTCTTGACACGCACTCACTTGTTCTTTCTCATTATAATAGTTAATAGCCTGTAAAAATCTACTGCTGGACGCATACTGCTAGACGCATATTGCTGGACATATACATGCCCCTAAAACCATGTTTTTAGTTGAAATTGATTTTACGAAAATGTGTGCGAGTGTGCTTTTGGCTTGGTTTCGGAAACACTTGAAATGTAGGATGCAAATGAGATGTAAATAAGACGTACATAAAATAAGATGCAAACGCAATGCTTCGTTCGTCTTTTTTGTTGGTTTCCGAGTGTTTTCTTTTATTTTTCTAAATAATATCGAAGAGACAAACCAAATTACAATCTTCACGATGGTAAGTGGTTACTGCAATACATGGACACCTGCATCCAACTTCAAACAAAGACTACAGATGCGTTGTTTGCGTCATTTCATTCAAGCATTCAATTTTAGTCCTCAGAGGTTACAACGCATTTTTAAGTTCGATGCCACTTCTGTTTTTTATAAAAAATTATAGTAAGCGAGTAATCCGAGTACGAACTCCGCGGGAACCAACGTCCAGTGATTTTGTTAATAAAATGCATATCTGGGAAATTAAAAAAGAAGACAAAAGAAGTCCAACAAGTTTTACAACGTGGTACTGGAGCTACGCTGCAGCTATATTTTGATTGTGTCACAAATGTATCTGCTCAACCGGGGTAGAACCGCGCTCTTACAGAATACCGACATAAAATAACAGCGTAATGGACGCCACACACGGTCAGTTCAACTGATCATTCCAACTTTTAAATATTGAATTTTCTATATATTGATAATTATAAATATATCAATACGGGAATTTTATATATACGTTTATTTATCGATATATCGAAAATCCAATATTTTAAAAAATATCAACAGTTTTAGTTTAACTGATCAGTTGGAATGATCAGTTGAACTGACCGTGTGTGGTGACCATAATGTTTCGTAGGGTAAGTGTATACAACCGGAAACTCTTTTTACTGGAAGCGAGGCATTCCATCTTGGTCATTAGGAGTGACAACGCATAAAATTTTTAATTCTTAATCGAGAATAGATCAGGGTTTCTATGGACCACAGCATCCGCTTGCCATCGTGTGTGTGCTTGTTTGTCGCCCTTATTCTATAAAGAAAGTATAATGGGGTAGCTCAGTGGACTATCATCTACATAACTAACTACACTAACATATACATAATATCTGTTTTAAATCTTACATAGAAATGAGTAGCTTGTGCCCAGTAGTTGGTACGTTTTGGACCTGTTTGTTAATTTACCCGTGATTGTGAATTGAATCTCTAACTACTATACAACGCAATTATCTAATAAATCGCCCATAGAACGGTAATTTTTATTTTATTGCTCAATCTATCTTTGGAAAGCAGCCACTGGTATATATATAGACGTGGTATAATTTTTCATACACTACCCTGATTAAGTACTGCTAGACAGCGTACAAGGTTTTTCTCAAGTTGAGTTGAATACGTCAAACTTTTAAGGGGGGGGGGAGACTATATAGTGTCTAGATTTTGTAATATGATATATATGTACATAATTGAAGACATTTTATTGGTTTTGTGTTAACGTATCACTGCATAAAAAAACTTCTTTCTAAAAGCATATAAGAGATGTTATACGATTAGAGAGCATTATTGTACAAATTTTCTGTTGTCTCTTGTCTGAGTCTTTTTGGTCGTTTCAGGTTCCTTAAATTCATCTGAACACGAGGAAGTCGTCGAGAAATATTTCGAGTTTCTAACAGAAAATAATCCCTTAAGATTCGGTGTAAGCGGAGATGTTATGGAGGAGTTTATTGAAGCAGCCAAAGAGAGTACGAAGAAAGTCATATAAGTGTGATATTCTGTGATTTTAAAATATTGTGATTTTTTAAGTATCTGTAATTTTGATATAAATATATTATAAGTACCTGAATACAATAACATTTATTTGCCTATGATACCTATATATATTGTTTACACTGACAGTAATTCATGCCAGGCTATACAAGCTAATGTTATTTATTTTTGTTTGAGTATCTTATTCGGTACATAGTACTTGATACACTGTTCTAACTACAAAATTCTAAATAAAATAAAGTAAATAAACATGATAGTTTCAGTAGATAAGGCCACTGGGTATTATCACCTGGAGACCCGTAATTAATAAAATTAAAACCAAACTCAAGCATATCACTGCAAGCTTTAAGATAATTTTGCGTAGATTGGACCAAAATGAATGATTAAAAGTAGAAGATTCAGCCATAACTCCGGTTTAACTATAACATCAGCACCGTGAGTGCACAGACCGTGAGTGCTACAAAGCATTCGAAACGTCAAAGTTAAAAAAAAAATTAAACTATTTGATCGACATAACTAGGAGTATTAAAAGATTTGTACATACATGTAGATCCGCACCCCGGTCTGAACATTTTCTATTATATAGTCTGTGATAACTTGTCCGGCGGAAGATCACACCTTTTTCTATACGGCCGTAATACCGTAATCATTATACCTTCCTGTATTTTATTCGCAGAATTAATTGCGCATCATTTGAAAAATAGAACATAAATTTCTGGTTAGGTAGTAAGTAGATAATGCCGTGGTAGCTTAGTAATTAGGAGCTTGCAATAAATAACCTTGGTTCGATTCCTGGCAGCGGCACCACCGAAGACATTAATGGTAATTTTATGGGTTTATTCACATTCGGAGGTCAAGGAAAACATCGTGGGAGTAAACTTGCTATTGATATTTCATACCATAATCATAATAAATTTATAAACTCATTAAATCGAAATTTTCTTTTATTTTGTTTTAATAACGGTTAATTGATAGTGTGCACCAAAAATTCAATGCTTAGTATAGAAGTTCTATTATTTATATTCTACCATAAACCCGTTATAAACATTGCTTTACTTAAATATTATTACATCGATTACGGCCAACAAAAGTTTGCCGTGTAGTGTCGGTACCCTCCCTCCTTATAATACCCTCCATGAGGAACTCTATGGGGGAGGCCTAAGCACAGCGGTGGACCTTTATAGACTGGAAATCGATGGATGGATACGTACGGCACAACATTCCAACCTGTAATCAGTGTTACGTCCAGCTGTAAACAAAATATTACAGAAAAATAACGTCTCCTATTGGAATTGGGCCTCACTAGGTAGATTTACATTTTACTAGACATCTTGATATATATCTAATCTAATCTAAGGCTGCTAATGACGTTAATCTGGATATATTAGATCTGGCATACGACTTTTTCGAAGTGTAGTATCGTTGAACGTCCGATCTTTACAACATTCACCGAAACAAATTTACAAGCAGGATGGAGGCATGTGCGTTAGGAGGTTATACGTGGCAGAAACACGCTGCAATCTTCTATGGCTGTAGCACGGGTCGGCTAGACCGGGGAAGGATGTCGCTCACACAGAATACCAACAAAACATAGCAGTGAGTTGCAAGAACTGAAGACCCCTCTTTATTGAATAAGGATGATAAACGAGCACATAGTCAACCTGATGGTAAGTGGATGATGTGGTCCATAGAATTCTACATCTATCCTCGATTACGAATCAAAATGCAGATACGTTGTCATCCGTGAGGACTTAGATGGAATGCCTCGTTTCCTGTAAAAAGGGTCTCCGGTTCCCTACACTCAACATACGAATGCTGATATTCTGTGAGAGCGTGGATCACCTCCGGTCGAGCCGGTCCGTGTGCAACAGCTATTATATAGCTACGTCGTGGCTCTACCACGTGCCAGCCAGCGTGTTTTTAACTTCCCGTTAAGAAAATTGGAAATTTTCAAGAATAGGGAAGTTATTGGTTTCACCCCGATTTTTTAAAATCGAGTTTTCATCAGATCTCGACGTTTTGAGATCCCAGGAAGCTATTCTGACTAATTTCACGTGGACGTCCATACGGATGTATGTGTATGTATGTGTGTGTGTGTGTGTGTGTGTGTGTGTGTGTTTTTTTTTCGTTCTAAAGATCTCAATGTGGAATAGATTTGGTGATAATATGAACTTATTCGGATTTTGAGAAATCTCAAAAATAAAAATTTTGAAAAACTGTTTTTTTGGTATAACTTTAAACCGCTTTACTGATCAAAAACTAATCAGCTCTTAACCTCAAAAAATGATGTCGAATGCCGTTTGGAAAATAAAAATCGGTTCATTCGTTAGTGAGATTGAGATGTCGAAGGAGAAAGAATTCGAAAAAACGGTTTTGTTTTTTTCGAACATCCACTGTCTACATAACTTCGAGATTTCGCAACATATTTTGGTGAAAATAGGACCGCTATGCATTTCAAATTAGCGGGAAGTTCCAGAGATGGCCTGCAGGGTCAACCAATTTTTTTAAATGGTGCTGAGGCATTCCATATTAGTCCTTGAGTTGATAACACAGCTGTGTTTGTTTGTCACCCTTGGACTTCTTTTAAAATAAAACGACAATACTACCAACAACGTCCCTGCTATATGCGATCCAAGGATCCATTACAATAAACTTAAAAAAAAACGGCTGAAACTCAGATCAGATAAGGAGATGGAAGAGATCGATTTATAAACAATCGCGGGTGGGAACTCTCGTAAATGAATGTGGTGATAGCGTAACGGTGATTTACAGTTCCTGATTTAGAGTACCGACAGCCCAAAGCTATATTTACTAGATTAATTTAATTTAGATTATGTAATTATTTAGATGATGAAGAATATATTTACTAGATTTTATATTTTACTAGCTTTTCACCGGCGGTTTTGTCCACATCAAATCAAATTTTCCTGATCGTAAGTACCCATCGACCATCGCCCATGAACTGCAACACCAGAGAAATTGCAGGTGCGTTGCCAGCCTTATTAATTTCTCGTTTCTTGAAGTCGTATCGGTCCGGAAAAATCGCCGGTGGTAGATAATTCCACAAAGAAGTCATGCGGAGAATAAAATCATAGTAAATCGCAGTCATTACAGACCGCCAAGTATCCAGATGGTGAGGATGTTACCGTGAGTTTTGTACCGATGTGCGTTGGTGGAATTTGGCTGCTGGAATAATCCGAAAAATTTGTCTAAGCACTCCCCGTGGTAAAAGGTGAGGTGATAAAAAACCGTAATAATCAATCAATTAGTGTAATATACTTGACACTGCACGTGTGTACAAACAAGCGACACAAATCTGTCCATGCCAGTTTCGTATGCCAATGCCGCTGGCTAGATTCCAGATACGAGCAGTGACGTCAATATGGCGGCAGCAAAATTAGTTACACCATTAATTTCGCGCCTCTGTTTTATCCGTTTATTCTACATCAAATCGCTGAAGACATTTCATTTGTTTATGTGCCTTGTATTTCTGGAGATTGTTTATTGCTTCGCGGAAGACGTGGTTTACTCAAATTGAATTAATTTTTAAAAAGGTAAATTTTGTATATTTTGTTTTATGTCGGAGCATGGAAAGATTCTAGGTACGTACTCACTATAGTGATGTGTTAGGTATCCATAGGTACATATTTTATCATGTCAGTCATCACATTAATTTTATTATGTATTAAAACTTTATGTAGGTACGAGTAATTTAGATCAAGCTGAAAATAGATAAACCTATTTATTGAATCGAGCTAGTCTCGCGGTTCGCGAGACATTAGCATTTAACACTAGGTACTTACCTGACTTGGACTTTTACATCGCAGTTCCTGCGTCTTTTTTTTAAAATAATATGTCTTTGACATTCAATGATGCTGCATCCTAGTCTACCTGTGATTTTATCGCTTAAAGCGTAATTTCGGGCACAAATAGGTTAGGAGAAGCGATAACCTGTGTTATGGATGCCATACATGATTCAGTTTACCGTCAAGTTTGCAGCTCGCTTTAAGCGGCGCGGCGTCCGGTAATCTTGACGGCACAGAGTACTTTTTATATGCTTCACGGTGTATGGCTATCAGTGTGCATGATATATCTATTTGAAGCAAGAATTGACTTTCGATTCTGCAGACTTGATCAAGCTTGCAGCGTCACGTAAACTTGAACGTGCGTGTGAGCGGTCAAGTATGAATAACGTGACCAGACGTCCCGTTTTGAACGGGACTGTCCCTTTTTATAGTTACTAGTCCCGGTGTCCCCGAAATGAACTCTGGGACGCAAAATTGTCCCGTTTTCTGAAACCGCGCAAAAATTTGTGTTGTTGTTACTAAAAAACTTTTTTGAAGATCCCACCTCCGAAATGCTTTATTTTTAAATATAGCTTTATTTTTTACACGCTCAGTCAGCAAGTTTTCATCAAGCTGTATTGAAAGTTGAAGTTTAGACTGTATCGGCTATTGAAGCTACAAAATAAATCAATCAACTAAAAGACACTTTGACTCAGAAACAGACCAATCAGTTTCTTCCATTTACGGTCCGTAATTAAAAGTGAAATCGAGAGATAATATTACTGACATAGAGGAAAAATTGGTGAAAAGGGCGGCTACAAAATTTTATGAAACAAGCCATGAATATCTGGAACGGTGGCATTTCTTTCTTACCAAAGAAATGGGCGATATTGATAATTTAGTTGAATATAAAAAAATATGCCAAGAGTTTCATTCTTACTTAATATCACCACCAGCTATATTAAAGCAAATTTGTTCCTTTATTTGTTTATTTGTTAATTTAGTTTTAACTGAACTTGATGTTTCTGTATTGTGGTGTACAAAAAAAGAAATTATATATATATTTGTGTAATTTTAAGCTAACTAAATTATTCTGAATAAATAACTTTAAAAAGTGTTTTTTTTTAATTACTATCTGTTAATTGACCTCAATAAACCAATGTCCCGTTTTGAGTCAAAAAATAAATGATCACATTAAGTATGCATGACG